AAATTTTGGTCGTAAAAGATTTATTACTCTTATTTTGGTATTTTCATAGTTTTTTTACTCATATCTAAAGAGTTTCTCTCCTTTAATATTTTCACATTTAACATCTAAAATGACACTTATGAAATAATTAATTAGTGTAGTTGACGGTTAAATTTGCGGTGGGCCAATGCAAGAATAACAGGCAAAGTGGCAGGTAAAATCAACCATATGGACAAATGAGTCTAGCATCTCAGTTTCTTATAACTACACACATAATAGGCAGAGACATCTCAATCTCTTTTACCCAAATCAACCCAAACCATGAGCGACTAATTCATTTTGCTAAACTCGCGTCTAGACCACCATAAATAATCAAATTCAGACCGGATTTGCTCTGATACTATGTAAAAATTTTAGTGGGTCAAGAATAACAGGTACAGTGTAAGGTAAAATTAATCACCTATATATAGAGTTAAGATATATTTAGGATCTACTCCCTCCGTCCCAAATTATTTGTCACATTTGCTTTTTCAACAGTCGCGGGAGCTTTTGTTTATTTCTACATTTTCATTGGTTATTTGATAAAATAAAATATTCTTGACACTTCTTATTTCGAAGAACTTTTCTTGTTGTTTTTTGATATGTAATTTTTATTTTTTATTTCTTTACCAATATGTAAATAAAATGAATTGAAAAAACTTGATATTTTGTCTCGATAATAGAAATGTGACAAATAATTTGGGACAGAGGGAGTACTTTATCCATTTTTTAACTCAAAAGTTTAACCTGATAGGTAGAGCATTACTTTTCTATATATGCTAATGATAATTTTTTTAATTTTTCGATGTAGAAATTCGAATATTGACAATCTTGAGTAATGATCAAAAACTTAAATAAGTAATTTCTAAAAACAATATTAATAAATTTTGAACCTTGTAGAATTAATGTAAAATCACTCATTTCATATATTGTTCATGCAAATTTTTCCTATTAAAAACACAACAACGTACGGGTGCAACTAGAACTTAAAGGGAAAAAGAGGAACAATTATTTTTTTAGGGAAAGCAAAACATGCCATTAACAAATTAAGTGCGAAATACAAGCAGGCGGATCGGACGGCCAAACAGATGAACAATTATTTTGTTTGTGCCATTGTTCAAGACTAAATTAATTAATGAGGAATTTATCTAAATAGCACTAAAACATAATGACTTTCCCTAAATAGCACTACATGTATTTTTCTTCCCAATATAGCACTTTTAGTCATTATGCATTAGTCATTATTCAAGCAAATATTCGTCATCACTGGTCATTATGAACATTTTTAAGTGCTATTAAGAGAATAAAACAATTTAAGTGTTATTTAAAGAAATGACTTTAATTTTATTGCTATTAAGTGCAAATATTTTTCTTAATTCCCCTTTAAGCGTCACTAGTGTTTCCGAAATCCAAGTTTCAACTTTTGGTTTCCAAAGATACTCCGCAAGTCACTTACTCCGTAGTAGTTTGGTGGCCCAAATATTTTCTAAATTTCTCAACCACTATCAAAAAGGTGCAACAATAACATAAAGACCTATTTTATTGTACTACGTAAGACATGAATAATCTATCTATAATTATTCCACGATGAAAAGTCTAAAGTCATAATCTACAATTATAGTTGTGCTTTGACGGGTCTTCCTGATATAATTCTAAATTTTGACTAACGGCTTCACTAAAAAGCCATCGTAAATCTATCAAGGATGCACTCTTTAAAAATATTATCGAGTTTAACGTCACAAAATATGACCTATGATTTATATTAATAAAAGTATTTTTGAATACGATTTTGGCCCGATTGAGAATATTATACCTTTGACAAAAACCAAAGAGATTTTCAAAACAATGATTTTTTTATTAAAAACTTATTTTTATAGATTGGTATCGAAGAAACGAGTCCAACGATACAGTTTATGAACCAATCTGATTTATAGATTTCAAGTTATAACGTTTTAAATATTAAAATTTATAACTTTGACCCATAAATTAAACTCAATTCAAAAGTGATTTAAGAATGAAAATCTTATTATTTGACATTTGACAACAATGTTTTCATCATTTGGATTTAATCCATATTCTTTTATCTTATTCTTATTATTAAATTATTTTATGACTGAGACGGACCCGAAAGCTGGAAAATTAAAGTTTTCAGAAAAATATTTTGAATACGTCAAAATTCTAATTTTGAGTGTCTAAGTCCAAAAATGCAATTGGTGCGAAAAAAGTTAATTACCACGGAGAAAAGTAATAACTTTTCCTTTTCATAAAGGAAAGTCATCCTAACACCGATTCATCTACGATCAGAATACGCCGTTGTGATCGCAGTGAAGAACTGATCGAGCAAGGAGTTCAAAGTTGAAAGAATCCATGAAGTTGTGTACTTCATGTTCTTAGTCTTTCATGATGTTTTCCGGAAAACGAAATAATGGAGATTTATGGAAAGTTCGTTTTTAAGGGAACCAAACTTGTCCCGGCCCCCTACTTTGACCTTATTTTTTGGTGCCATAGACTCACTATCTCGAGTCTCGACCTTGTAGGTTTATGTCTTGCGAATCCATAGCTTCAAATAGTTTGATTTTTCTTTGAGAAAACAAGAGAGATATGGCCAAAACACGGCGATCACGACCCAGAGTCTGCAAATTTATCATTTTTAAGTATTTATCATTTTTAAATGTCAAGCGATATTTTATTTAGATCCGTTTTCACCTTAATATGAGTAATTCCAAATTATACGAATCAAGATGTTACTTCGAGAATATGAAAGTACACTTTGACATGACCACTAGACAAAAAATGTTTTTGATTGTCTATGAGCACACCTGCCCAACACTTTCTTCTTGCTATTAACATGGATGGGATGGACCAACATATGTCAATGGTGGAGTACCATTTTACTCTTATGTATCAACTCACAATTTCTTTATTTTTAGTTGATGAGATATATCATGTTTGTCCCAATGCATATTTGGATTCATTTAGAGAGCATGTACTACATTATAGGGAGTTACCTGGGTTTATGTCGACACCTTTGGATTCCTCGTGCAATAGGTCGTGGAGTATGTAGCATTGTAGCTTAGTAGAGTCCAACAGGTCATGCATAATTATATTATACTCCTTTTGACTGTGACATTCTTTGACCAAGATTATAAAAAAAGTATATTTAATCATAATGTAAATTTAAAAAAATTGGGTTTATTTTAACTCTAATTTTAAAACATAAGATTTTTATAATATTTAATTATTTTATACTATATTTAATTCATGGTCAAAGTAACTTGACCAAAAAAAGTCAAAATGTGACAATTTTTTAGGAAAGGAATGAGTATATGTTATGACCCTGTGATGTGCAAGCTATAGTGAGGGAGTATATGTTATGGCCCTTTGATAAAAAAAATGTCAAACTATGACAATCTAATTGTGCAGTTTGATGCATGTTTGCCTTCTATTTCAATGTATTAGTTAATCACATTCAGTTGTATAAACAATCGTCACGAATATTAATGTTATAGTTATGGAAAATTCTTTGGCGACCTTTACCCCATGTTTGGATGGGGTGATTTTAGAGAGAAAGAAAATGAAAGGGAAGAAAACATAATTTCCAATAAAATTTCATTTGTTTGTTTAGGAAAGAAAATGGGGGAATGAAAGATATTGTCAAAGGTGCCAACCTAAAAACTTTTCCCCTCTCAAGTGGCGAGAAAATCCACTCATTGAAGAGAAAACACGTGAATTGACTGTTTTACCTTTCATTCCATCATATTCAATAATAAAAAGCAAGGGCAAAAATGTCTCTTTTGCTTTATCACCTTTTCTTTCCTTTTACATTTTCACTTCATTTTCCACTCACCCAAACATAGGGCTGGGCTGGGAAAACCGAAACCGCAAACCGAACCGAAACCAATCGAAACGAGCTAGAAAAGAAACCGAACCGAAGAAACCGATACCGAATGTAAAAAAACCGAACCGAACCGTTATTGTTTGGTTTCCGTTTTGGTTTTCACTTTGGAAAACCGAACCGAACCGAATAAACCAAACTTTCTTAGGTACTTCACTTTATTTATATGAGTATATATGATATGTAAAAAAACCATAGCAATATTAATGCAAATAGTTGACTAGTCGATTAAAGTTATTTTTTAACTATTAATTAAACATTTTAAACCATATTATAAACTTTAAAAAAATCTAAGAATATAAACAACAATAACTAATTCTAATATAGAACTATATTAACATTAAACATTGATATGAGTAATTTACACACTTACGTAAAAACCTTTGATGTTATAATGGAAGTGAAAGTATTATACCAAAAAATGCAAATTCTCTGTATATATACATACGATGTCTTTAGAAGTATTTAAAATCTCCTAGATTTTTGTTTGACACTCGACACATATTTTTTTGTAAAATTGAACCGAACGGAACACCAACCTTCCGTTTTTTTTTGTTTTGTTTTGTTTAAAAATCAAGTCAAAAAACCAAACCCAAACCTTACATATTGTTATTCCTTCATCGGGTTAGTATTTTTACAATTTTTAATGCTTATAAATTTTTATTTTTAAAAACCGAAAAAAATCGAAAAAAACCGAAATAAAAACTGCATCAAACCGAACCGAATAACTAATGGTTTACATATTTTTTATGCAAAACCGAACCAAACCGAACCGCTATTTAACCTTCCGTTTTGTCTTTGGTTTTGGGTGAAAACCGAACCCACCCCTACCCAAACAACAATAATCTCCTTCCCATTTTCTCTTCATTTTCTTTCTTCTCTATTTTCTTTCCATCCATTTTATTTCCTCTCAGTTTCTCTTTTTATCCAAACAATGACTTAGTTCACACTAATTTTATGGATCTTAATACATAATATAGTACGTAGTAATATTAATGGAACTCGATTGTAAAAAAAAGATATTTAATTATGAGTCAGTAAACAATATGTGAGACGGTCTGCATCTCATGTATGGATCTTGACATCACAATAGTACAACTCTATATTTATATCACAAATTTTGATTTTTCTTGCAATGTCACAAATTCACACTTCAAGAGAAGTAAATTATTCGCTTAATAAAACCACATACTCAATAAACACAAATAAGTTTGTACTCCGGATTATTCATAGAGTTATTGCCCACTTAAACTCCGATTCAGTTGAAAAAAGTAATTATTCACTAGACATAACAGTTCTTGAATTCGGACCAGACCGGCGTGTAAATCAAGCTAGCAACGAAATGCTTTCAGAGTAAATTGCAGATTGAAGATGAAGAGCAAAAGTCCAATCATACCTCTCCAGCTTCTTGAACGATCCGCCATTGACGTTGTTGTAAGAAACCAGCTGGTTTCCAAGATTGAACAGAAACTGGGTCCGATCATCGGACATGTACAGAACAGACACGTGGCCCCTGAGATCGCCGCCGCCGGCGAGGGAAACGGAAACCACTCTGGTCCAAGAACCGGCCACGCCGTACTCCTCCATCACCCAAACCTCCATCGTCTTCTTCGAGGAAGAGAACAAACAAGCGGCCAAACACCCGCCCAGAACCTCCAGTTTCAGAGTCGATTTCCTGTTTTCGTAATCCCACCCGGGAATTGGTATTGTCCTGTACCTGTCCTCTTTCTCCAAGTCCACCGCGAGAATCTCGGAGGGATATTCGCCGCGGCGGAGATCCCAGTGAAGGGCTCCGTTGAGGAAGACGCCGTATTTCCCGTTGATGTACCCGCTGCTGAAACCGGGGATTGAGATCCAAGAATCGGGCTTTAAGCTGTAAATCTGGACTCTGTTTTCGTACTGATTCGACGAAGATTCGGAGCTGCAGATCTTCACGACCTTGTAATCCTGGGCGTGGTCGTCGTACCCGAACCCGAATCGGACGTAGCAACCAGAAGACCCGAGCGGGTCGGGGAAGACCCGGGAGGTTCTCGTGGACGGATTCCAGAGGAGGAGTTTACAGAGGCCGGCGGAGAGGCAGATGAGGCCGTGGCAGGCGCCCAGGATTGTGGGAGATTTGCAGGGGCAGGCGGGGGAGGAATCGAGCTGGTGCAGAGTGGCGAAGGCGGGGGAGGAGTCGCCGTTTTCCCGGGCCAAGGAATGGACGGAGGTGTGTCGGCCTTGGCCGGCGACTGAAGCGATGAGGAAGAGGCGGCGGAAGCCGGCGCCGGAGAGACGCGTGTGGGCCGCCGCGAAAGCAGGGCTGCGAATCAGGGAACGCCAGGCTTTGGAAACGGCGGTGAAGCGGAGGAGGGATTTGACGGGTAATCTTGTTAGGATTTCGGTGGTGAGTTCTTGGGGGAGGTCCAGCTCCATTGATATTGTTGAGTCGTCGTCGTGTTGGACGTGAACTTGAGCCGGTGAGGCCATGGCCATTAGCTTCGACTCCTGATCGAGTTTGATTGATTAGCGGACTACTATTCTACTTACTAATCACTACTAATATACAGATGGCGTTTGTACGGAGTGATAAAAGTAAGTGGGAAACTGAGTTGGTAGGTTTGGACTTTAGATAATTACTCCATATTAAAAAAATAAGGCATCATTAATAGAAAGGATGAGCCTTAGAGCACCGGAAATATTCTTGAAGCCCGGGGCTTTAAATTGGGGACTTCAAAATTTTTCTCTCTGTCACGTTAGCTTTAACTTACATTACATATTTAGTAGAAATGGGTTTGAACTTTGAAGCTCTGAGATTTCAAACCTTCTTTTTTTACATTTTTAAATATACATATTTTAAATTTAAATTAATAAATTTTAATTAATTTATTATTTATATTAATCGAAAGGAGATTAGTGCATTAAAAAAAATTACACTCATTAAAAAAATATTACATTCATAAAAAAATACATTCAAATCAAACTTTTTTTAATTTATTTTAAATACTAAAAATACTCTGGCCTTATTTTTAGCACAACAAACACACACAACCTATCATCATTCTCTCCATAATTCTTTCAAAATATATTCCATTTCTTTCAAAGTCTCTCTACAAAAATATTCGAAAAATGGAACCATATCATCATCTGACGATGGAAAGAGAGCTCTCATTTTTCGTTGTCTCGCGGTGGGTTGTTATCAATGGTGGCAACAAGCCTAACGAGAAGAAGCGGAATCCTTCCAACGTCAATGCCCGACCCGACGTGAGCGTTTAAACCGTGATCGGGAGGCTACACACGCTTCACTACTCAACGACTACTGGGTCTTAAACGCTAGACCTATAAAAGAACTCACGTGGATGGGGGAAAAGATATCGAACGAGCCTTCAGGGTGTTGAAGGATAAGTGACACATTCAAGATCGTTCGTCCAAGTGTTATTCCCAAACAAAAATGAGAAATATCATGTACGCTTGTAAAAATCTTCATAATATGAGCATAGAGGACAACAAGTTTGCAATATGTCATTACAACTCGGACGAGCTGAGGAGGTGCCTACGTACGAAGAAATCGATGAAGAAAATAAACGAAGAAATTGCCAAAAAAATCCAAAGCCGAGAGATTCACAATGCACTAACAACAGATTTGATTGAAGATATTTTTAGTCGATCAAATAATCACTAATTTCTTCGTAGTGTAATGTAATTTTTAATTCTTTTTATTTATGTTGGCATTATTCAAATCTTATTTTATTAATATAATTTTTATTGAATGTATTTTTTATTTAATGAATTATTTTCGTTTAAATTTAATTAAATAATGAAATGTTATTAATTTAATTTTAGAAGATACTTATAAAAATGTAAAAAATAGAGGTTTGAAGTCCTAATTTGAACTTTCAGCGCTTCAAACTCATTTCCATTGAAATTTTGGTGTAAGATAAAAGATAAAATATAATGGTTTATAAGATAATAAAAAGAGCTTTAAAAATTTTTAATAGTAGAGTATAAATTATTTAAATAAATTATGAAATTTATAAAATATAATAATTATTTCAACACTATCTATTTATTTAACACTATTAATTTTTTTCTAATGTTTTTCAGTTTCTTCTCATTTTATTCTAGTTTTTTCCAATTTATTTTAATTTTTTCTAACTTCTTTCAATTTCTTTTAATTACTTCAAAATTATTCTAATATCCCATTCTAGTTTTACAACTAAAAAGAACAGTGCCTAAAATAGAAGTATTTGGGGTATTTATTTCCTCCTCAGTTCCGTAGGTAACACACACGACATGGCACAGTTGAATTAATTGGGACGATTGAGTGCCGATCCTACGTACATGGATGAAGGCAAAGCTAATCCTAACTACTCCCTCCGTCCAGAAAGAATGTCACAGTTACTATTTTGGTCTCTTGATGATTTTTTTGTTTATTTGTTTTGGTTGACCATTTGATTAGATAAAATATTCTTGTCGCATTTTGTTTTGTACTCCAGGTAGAACTTTTCAAATACTTTTGAATGATGTAATTTTTACCTTTTATTACTCTACCAATTTGAAAATATATTAATTTTAAAAGAGATAATATTTTGCACGTCGTTTGAAATGTTGCAAATAATTTGGGACGAAATATAAGGGATAACAACAACTATTCAAATATACAAGAAATAGCCAAATATGGAATTATGAATTATGCTTAACATAGGGAGGGGTACGTAGGGCCTATGAGATGTGTACACTTGTGGGTTTGTTTTGAACAAGAAAGTGCAAGGGGAGCCATACAAATTATATTCCCTTCCTCCTATAAACATCTTCAACAACACCTAAAAATATGTTTTTTTTAAAAATTATTTTATTCATAAATTGATATAAATATCAAAACTATATACGTATCACATATTTTAAAACTAAATCAAAACTTAAAAATAATACTCCTTTCTACTCGAATTGGATGCTATTATTACTATTACAGCTTCTCGGTAACTTTTATATATTTTCATTAAAAAGTTTGATAAATAAAATATTCTTGTGACTTCTTGTTTTATATGTACTTTTAAATGGTGTAATTTATACTTTTTATTTCAATACTAATTTATAATTAAAATAATTTTAAAAATAATGTGATTTTGTACATTGTTTGGAGTGTGGTATCTCATATGAGACCGAGAGACTATATGATAAGAATATTTCAATTTATTGAATAATCAATATAAATAAATAAATAAAAGTTGCTTTGATGTCAATATACTCAATAATCGATAGGAGTACGAGAAAGGGAGAGTTGAATTGTCGTGCATGCAGATAAGTGCTAGCTAGCTTGTCCAGAAGTACTAACCAAACACATATTTTCAAACAAATTAACCAATCGAAAAGGGGAGGTTCCTGTCACATTGAAACTCCACGATGACTTGGGTGGCTAAGACGGCTCATTCATAAAATTGATCGTTCCTACTCTTCTTAATCCCTCAGTAAACTTCTCACCCGCATTGATCCAAACACACCCTCGTCCTCTTCAAGTTTTGACTTCAAAATCAAAATTAATTTGAGATGTGCAATTTAAGGGGGGTGAGGGTGTTTCGAGTCGGGGCAGGGTGGAGAGTTAAGAGGGATAGGAGCCGCCAATTTTACGAACATGACACCGTAGCGGCTCCGAATCATCCCATGACATTGGAGTTCCAATGTCATGTGAATTTCTCCGATCAAAAAAATCACTCTTTTGTGTTTAAAAAATCACTCTTTTAAGTTTTTTTAAGTTTTAAGAGGACAATTGAAATGTCGTGTTCACTAGAAATAAGTACTGCAGAGTACTACTAACTACTTTTCCCGTCCCCCATAAATCTTTTCAAATGTCTTTTTTATTTGTTAGGGTATTATTAAGTTCTTAAACATTAAAAATATCGTTACCCACACGTATTTTATTTGATACACCAGACTCACCTTATATAATATGCTCATCCAATTTCATTAAAGATATCTTAGTAAGAGCAACTCCAATACATAGGGTATATTATTAAATACGGAGTATACCCTTTATTTAAGATGAAATCATTTTATTCTACTCCAATGGAGTGTGTAAACCCAATGCTAAAAAACACTATAGTGCAAAAAGTACTCTCCACCCCCTATTTCTACACTATGATGTATATAGTGCAAATAATAAAAAAATATTTTTTCTCACCTATTGGATCTACTTTTCACTCTCTCTTTCATTTTTATTTGTTTTCCATCCAACCTTCTCAATTTGCTCTGCTCTGGTTCGTGAATTCCAAAATATGTGTTCTCTTTCAAAATTGCCACTCTCAGTACCAACTCAGTATCCAAATCTTCATATCAGTTTGCATCTTTTTTCCATTTTCTAATGTCGCTGCCCTCTCTCAGATGAAGTGCTTCAATTTAATCACAATACTACTAAACGATAAATTAAAAATAATTATTATACATAAATAACTTAAAATCCAAAAGTTATGAAAGTGTATATTATAGAAGATATGGATGGAGTAAGTATAAAAATGTAGATGTGTAAAACACTATTTATAGTGTAAAATAGTTTTTACACTATCATAATTTACCCTATGCATTGGAGTTGCTCTAACTAAACTTTCACTTTTTTTTAATTTCTCTTAAATTGTGGAGTACAAAATCAAATTTGAAAAGTCTGGATGGAGGAAGTAGTGACCAATTCAAAAAGCTTTGGGTAAGTTGTGGAATTTTCAAAGGAATAAACCAATGAAATCACTCTATTTTAACTAGACAATAGACAATGTCGGGAAGATAAGTACTACCCAAACTGGCCAAACAGCTATCATCGATCGTTGAATTTTCACACAAACTAAAAGCTCCTTTTTGGCGAGCCATGGCACTTTAATTAGTTTATGTATAGCCATGGGACTTTAATTAGTTCATGTATTACTCGTACTTCCCATGTGTCTTTTAAATTTCATCAAATCTTTCTAGCTCAAATTTTTAAATTAATCTCCAGGGTTGGTCCCGAAAAATGAAAAAATAAAATTAGTCCGGTCCAAAATTTACATTTTGTACCCCATTTTATATATTTAGAATAGTTTTGCTTTAAAATTATTAACAAATTTAAAAGTATGGTGCCCTAAATTTTGAAGGGCCCTATGCGATTAGCCACTTTGCACACCCTCCGAGCCACCAATGTTAATCTCATTCGAACCCATTTGTGATGACAAATTTGCGTCAGAACTCGGTCATTTTGCAATGGAATGTTCCATTATTGAAGATGTGCCTTGCGAGCTGTGACAATAGAATTTGCAGTTAATTTGAAAACGTTAGTGCTAAAAACTATCGTAAACATAACAACGGGTGGAGTCTTGGTGATAAATGTCCCACGAAAACATCAACACATACAAAAAGTTATCCTTGTACATTTGGGTATCCATATTTGCTTATTCAAATGGGTTCCGAATAGACGCAACTACCCGATCGGTACACTTTAAATTCCCCAGACTCGAATTGGCAAGTCCATTCACTTTAAACGATAGAGTACTTTTGCAATAGTCTTGTCAAAAAAAGAGCTGCTTCGTTACCTTATTATGTTAAAAAAAATCCACAATAATACTCTCTCAGTTTTTTTAAAAAAAATGTTTGACTTTCACCGAATTTATGAAAAGTATTGAAAAATACTCCCTTCGTCTTATTTTGATTACAATTTTTTCTTTCTCCACTCGATAACTTTTGAATATTTATGCAATTTCATTAAGTATTTGATAAAATAAAATATTCTTGTCATATCTTGTTTTGTAAAACTTTTGATGTAGTTTTTTAATATATAATTTTTATATCTTTTTGATATACCAATTTTCAAATAAAATAATTTCAAAAAAGATAACTTTTTATATCTTATTTATATCTTATTGAGAAATTTTTATTCGTAACCTACATTTTGTTATCAAATTATTGACGGAGGGAGTATATTGAAAGAAAAAAATATTTACAAATTTTGATCAGAGGGAAGAGAAATTTTTATGGTCACATAATTTCTTTTTTAAAATAATTTTTTTCTTTTAGGGAAGCAAGGAGTACAATATAATACAACCCCCATACTTATACTATTACACTACTACAAAAACAAACAAATAGATGGCCCTAGTTGCATCGATTAGAGGAATAAACAATTTAAAAGCCAAAAAAATTCGTCAACCGGTTAGCATTTAAATCAGTTATTTCTAATAACCGATGCAAACAGGTATTTGTATCAGTTATTAGGAATAGCCGACGATTTAAATAGGTTATTCCTAATAACTGATGCAAATATCCTTTTGCATTGGTTATTAGGAATAACTGATTTAAAAGAGACTGTTAAATCCAGCCTCTGATAAGTTATCCTTACGCGATTTTGAAAAAAAGAACTCCAAACCTTCAATTCGTCGTCAACCCTTCACTGCTGCAACCCTTCGCCACCATCTCTTCCCCCAACCCTAAGCCACCATCTCTTCTGTCGCGGTGCTCCTCGCCTCGCCATCCCTCGCCTGATTTTTTCAGGAAAGAATCAAAAGTTGTGTTTTGAATTAAGTACTTAACCTTTCACACCATTTTGTTAACTCTGATGGATTTATAAATATTGTTTTTTAATTAAATATTTTAAATTGTTTTGAAAATTATTGTGTTTGAGTACCAATCTAATGACAACCAAGTCCGCTAGTCTATGTATTCGGGTTACGCTTATCAAATAGTTACAAATATAGTCTTGTCACATCTAGTTTTATAGAACTTTTCACATACGAAATACCCTTTAACTATATAATTTTATTTTTAAATTTCATACCTACAGTCAAATAAATTAAATTGAATACAAAGTCGATCAAATTTCGTAATACATAATGGGAAGGGCTTTGGTAGACAGAGAGAATACAAGATATATGAGTTATATTACTGTAAAAAATAATGTTCCATCCGTCCTAAATGTATAACCCATTTCTATTTACGAGATTTGACCGAATTTATTTTCAAATCAATTTATTTAATTATAGGTGTAAAATTAAAAATAAAATTTATGTATTTAAAAATTACATTAAAAATTGAACAAAATAAGAGATGATGAGACTATATTATTTTATCAAGAAACTAACAAATACTCCGTATAAGTTATGAAAATGAGATTAAAGATTAACCCTGTGAATAATAAGTTAGATAGCATTTTAGAGGGAATAATACTCTACGGGCCTGTTTGAAAATAGCGTGACAGATTAGTTTTAACATTTTGAAAAAGCTATCTACAAATAGTATTTAGTGTAAACATTTTTTCAAAATAAGCTACACCATTAAAATTTTATTCAAAACGTTAATTCTAATCATCAAACTATTCCCAAATAAGGCTCCATTCCGTTCAACTTATTTTTTCTAATCTGATCAGATTTTGATAAGTTCTGATCTGATCTGATCTGATTGGATCTGATCTAATCTGATTAGATCTGATCTGATCTGATTGGATCTGATGTGATCTGATTGGATCTAATCTGATCTGATTGGTTCTGATCTGATCTGATTGGTTCTGATTTGATTGAAAATTGTAATGATAATTCATATTATAATATANTTAATATTTTTATTAAAAGATCACATCCTTATATTATCAATGTTAAGCAAAGAAATAATACATTTTTCATTAATAATTAAAGATTACTTTCTCGGGTTTCTATTTAGCTTGTTTCTAAAGTTTATTATTTTTCATTTTTAAGAAAACAATTGTGCTTCATATCATTTATTTTAGTCTACATAAATTATAATCACACAAAAAGTTTCATGTTCTTTCTTCTTATATTTTTTAAATAGAATTAAATTTATTTTTTAAAAGAACCGTATCAAGTGAAACAACAAAAAAATATGGAATTTAAAAAGTAAGGAGTAATAAAGATATTGATAATGATAATAATAGTAGTAGTAGTAGTAGTAATAATAATAATAATAATAATAATAATAATAATTCTTATTTGGATCTGATCTGGTCTAATCTGATTGGATTTGATCTGATCTGATAGATCTGATCTGATCTAATTGGATCTGACTTGATCTGATTATATCTGATCTGATTAGATCTGATTGGTTCTGATCTGATCTGATTGGTTCTGATCTGATCTGATCTGATTAGATCTGATCTGATCTGATCTGATTTTAATAAAATTAAGAAAAAAGCAGAAAAAATAAGTTGAACGGAACGGGGTCTAAGGCTCTGTTCCGTACGCCTGATCTGATTGAATCTGATCTGAATTTTTGAAGTTCTGATCTGATCTGATTGGGTCTGATCTGATCTGATTGGGTCTGATCTGATCTGATTGGGTCTGATCTGATCTGATTGGATCTGATCTGATCTGATTGGATCTGATCTGATCTGATTGGGTCTGATCTGATCTGATTGGATCTGATCTGATCTGATTGGATCTGATCTGATCTAATTGGGTCTGATCTGATCTGATTAGATATGATCTGATCTGATTGGGTCTGATCTGATCTGATTGGATCTGATTGAATCTGATCTGATCTGATTGGATCTGATCTGATCTGATTGGATCTGATCTGATCCAATTGGATCTGATTTTCTCTAATTAGATCTGGTGTAAATGAATTTAAATTTGATTTAAACTAAACTTAAAGTTATTACAAAATTTAATAGTTTTAAAGTATTACAATTCATATATACATAAAAAAAGTAATTAAACTTTTTTTAAAAAATATTAAACATCTTTTCAATATCACAACTTTTTTAATTTTTGTGAAAACTAAATAATCGGTATAAAAATAACCAAATATAAGATAATATTGATGCTATTCTACAAGAATATCACATTCTATATACATATTACATAATAATATATTTCATGTTACAAATTAAATATCATACTCCCTCCGTCCCAAATTATTTGCCACATTTGTATTCCCGAGGCAAAATATCAAGTTTTTTAAATTCATTTTATTTACATATTGGTAAAGAAATAAAATATAAAATTTACATATAAAAAAACTACATGAAAAGTTCTTTGAAATAAGAGGTGTCAAGAATATTTTATTTTATCAAATAACCAATGAAAACGTTGAAATAAACAAAAGTTCCCGCGACTGCTGAAAAAGCAAATGTTGTGAATATTTAGGGACGTAGGGAGTATAAAATTTTAAACACTAATATCTCTTTCACCTCTATCAATTTTGTCATAAACTAACTCACCTTGTGTATATTAATACAGCTGTTGCATAATAATAATAATAATAATAATAATAATAATAAAAATAATATAACAATAATAATATTTAAAATTATAATATTAATTAAGATTTAGGTGTGTGTATTTTTAAATAAAGTAATGTGATTTAATCAAATAATAGTAATTATTATTTAATCCTTGAAAAATATAAATATTATCTTTTATATTTTTCTTGATTTGATATTATTAGATTTGACATCTGATCTGATTGGATCTGGTCTGATCTGATTAGATCCAATTTGATTGGATCTGATATGATCTGATTGGATCTAATCTGACCTGATTGGATCTGATCTGATCTGATTTAGTCTGATCTGATCTGATTGAATCTGATCTGATCTGATTGGATCTGATCTGATTAGGTCTGTTCTGGTCTGATTTAATCTGATTTTAATAAGAATAAGTAATAAGTAGAAAAAATAAGTCCTACTGAACGGACTGTAAGTCGAGACAACTGGACCTGCTTGCAAGAGATTTGCCAAACCCTAAACCCTTTCAAGTTCAAATATTCCGTACGTACACCGGGGTAAAACTCATCGTCCGCTAATCAATCAATCAAATTCAGGAGCCGGAGCTAATGGCAATGGCCTCCCCGACTCGAGTTCCCGTCCAAGACGACGGCGACTCCCCAGTAATGCGGCTGCCGGAAGAACTAATCACCAATATCCTCACAAGATTGCCCGTCAAATCCCTCCTCCGCTTAACCCGAGTTTCCAAAGCTTGGCGTTCCCTGATCCGCAGCCCTGCTTTCGCGAGGGCCCACATCCTTCTCACCGCCGGCGACGTCCGCCGCCTCTTCCTCGTCGCTTCGGACAGGGACGAAGGCACACACTCCTCGGTTCATTCCCTGGCCCGTGACGACGATTCCTCCCTCATCTCTCTCCACCCCCTCGACTCCCCGCCCCCCTTTCCCTGTGGATCTCCCACGATCGTCGGCGCCTGTGACGGGATCCTCTGTCTCACTCCCGGCGGATGCAACCTCTTCCTGTGGAATCCGGCCACGGGAACATCCTGGGAGCTCCCCGCCCCGTTCGGATCTGATTGCTGCGTCCGATTCGGATTTGGGTACCACGAGAAATCCCAGGACTACAAGGTCGTGAAGATCTCAAGCTTTGAGTCTTCCGACGGATCCGGGTACGGAAACAATGTTCAGATTTACAGTCTAAAGGCCAATTCCTGGACTTCGATTTACAATTACAACACCGGGTATACAACAGAAAAGTGGATCCTCTCTTGGGGATTCGAAGGCGGGTACATCCACAACCACGGCGGCGTCTTCCTCAAGGGGGCTCTTCACTGGGATGTTTGCCACCGCAATTCTCCTCCCGAAATTCTCGCCGTGGACCTGGACAAGGCGGACAAGTATAGGACGATACCATTCCCGACCTGCAATAATGAAAAGGAGGAACCGGGTATGAGACTGGAGGTTCTGTGGGGGCATTTGGCTCTCTGTTTGTTCTCGCCCTCGGAGAAGACGGTGGAGGTGTGGGTGATGAAGGAGTACGCGGATGCCGGCTCGTGGATCAGAATGGTCTATGCGCAGTCTCCGGCCGATCTCGAGGTCGAGGGCGATGTCTCTGTTCTGTATGCGTCCCAAGATTGGAACGAGTTCTTGTTCAATCTTGGAGACCAGCTGGTTTGTCACAACGTTAATGGCGGTTCTCTCAAGAAACTGGAGGAGTATGACTGGACTTCTGCTCTTCGTCTTCAATCTGCAACTTACTCTGAGACCACGGCGTTGCTCCATTTACATACCCCACAAATCTAGTGCAATACAGTACGTTTTGTTACGTGAATATGATTATTTTGGACAAAGGGATTTACTCAATAAACATAGTAACTTCCCCAATGTAGAATGTTTTTCTTTCTGTAGTGGTCATTATTCAAACAAATGTTAACTGTGTCACTGGATATTGTTCAAACTAAATGTCTATCATTACTAGACATTTTTCTCGTCACTAGACATTATTGAAGTATTACTTTGGAAGTAAATAAGTTTAAATATTACATTGGGAAAGATCACATATTTTAGTACGGACTCTTATCTAGTGCAAATTTCATTTTGGAGAATTTACCATTAAAATATAGTGACTTTTTCAATGTAATGTCATATATTTTTATTTTTTCAATATAGTATCACTAGTTTTTGTTCAAGTAAATATCTATCGCTAATAGACATTATTCAAAATGTCCACTATTACTAGACATTTTTCCCGAGACTAAATATTATTCAAGTCTTATTTAGACAATAAAAAAATTTAAGTACTACATTGAAAATTATAAACATTTTGATATTATTTAGTGCACACTAATTTTAACATTATTCATAAAAAGTTGTTCAATGTTTTTATGAACCCCCGTTGTGAGAATGTCCGAGTCTAGATTAGGACTTGCCAAACTTAATTAGTTCAAGAAAAGAAATTGAAAAATATATAAAATGAATGGTTAGGACCTTACATGTATGATGATAGTTAGGGCCTATTTGAAAATAACGTTAGAGATTAGCATTAGAATTTTAAAAATACTATCTACGATTAGTGTTTAGCGTTAGCGTTCTCAAAGTCATGTGCACTGTTAAAATTTTATCCAAAACGCTAATACTTATCTCTAACGCTATTTCCAAACAAGCCTTTAATCACCAATAAATAATTCGTAGTAGAATGAAAAACATAGTCTATGAAAGATGGGTAAAATTTCATAATGGTTTTATTGTCAAGACACTCCACACCACACAACAAATACTTTGGGATTTGCTCCTTCACATGATTGGGAGGGAGCAAAAGATCAATATAATATTACAAATGTTAGTGCAGCTCAAAATCACTGCAGTAAATCAAAAGATAAATGCTTTTGTAATGCAATGAGGGAATAATGTTGAGATGGATCCCAGCAAAAAGCAGCCATTCTTTAATGGGTTTTACATTTTTACATGGATGGGGGCACCAGGAGATGTCAAAAAACCTGAAGTCGATCGATCTGCCAAAGCACATTAGTGTTGTTCGGGAAGCACGGGAGGAGCAATCGTACGAGTGTTGTAGGATTGACAGTGGCGACACTTCTGCCCAATTATATGGAAGAATACTTCTGTGGTGTCATTGCAGTCATTGCATAATATCCAAACCTGCCAGAGTATCAGAAAAGGAATCATGTTTGGTAGACTCAATGTCAGCCAGATAAGCAAGTCAAGAATTACTTATTTTGATGATGATCAAAATAGTCAATGACGGCTACCCAACACAGCGTTAAAATGGAAACATTTAAACGATTCATAAAAGAACTGTTCAATTGTGTACATTTGGCAACCTCAAATTCAACCAAAAAGAGTCAAAAGCTACCCATGTTGATAAGCATATTAAGCCAATTATGACATGTATATAAGCAGTAGCCACTAGAGAACTGAAATATGACGAAAACGCAGAGGTTTCCCCAGATTCAAGCAATTTAAAAATGGGACAAATATTGGCAGAGTTGCTAACATGACATACCTTTCGGTCTCTATAATCTTCAGGCATGACTGTATGCTCAATCTGTAGTACAAACCAATATTAGTACTTAAGGGAGAAAGACCAAACTAGGACTAAAACATTGAAAATATACCAAAATAGGACTTCCATGTTTTTATTCCCGAAATAGGACTTACATTACCAAACATGGTCATATACATTACCAAAAAAGTAAAGTAATTTGCACATGTACACTGCCACATTACCACAATGCAAAGTCACATTACCAAAGTGCAAAGTCCTATTCCGGGAAAAAAAACATGAAAGTCCTATTTTGGTACTTTTCTCTATGTTTTAGTCCTATTTAGGATGATTTCTATAGTACTTAATCAAAAGGACCATTCATACAGTAAGATTTATATGGAAGGCATTCAAATTTTTGAACTTCTAGGAGTTATACCGATGAGGAATTGCATAGTGTGATTTGCCCCAAAGAGGAGTGATTAAAACTTTCATAAAGAATAATGAAACTTGTCTACATTTAAAACTCAACACAAAAAGCTTTTGATATACATATTGTGTTATGAAAAATTACCTCTTCATCCATTTCTTTCCAAATACTCGACATGTCTATGGTTGACTTGGAACATATTGGGCAACAGTACCTGAGTGTCATAATACTTATCATAAGGTTGTATCCGTAGTTCACTGTTATGCTCACATTTGGATATGATTGTAGACAAAAGATACAGAATAATTTGCAAGAAATGGAACATTACTTTTCACGCTTTATCAGCTCACTAAAGCACTCATAATGTATTGTGTGCCCACATTTCATAACGGTTGTGTCTTTCAGAGAGTCAAAGAGGTACTGCCAGTTCCAAATGTCAAAGAATTAAAATAAAACAATAAATTAAATATTTTCTTTTATAAATGGATTGGAAATTTACCAAACACACCTCATAACAAATGGGACAGTGATGCTTCATGGAGTTCTCCACACAACAGTGGTTGTCACGTAGACTAACTGCATAGCAGGAGCCTGCAGAACCACACTCAATAAAGAACTAATACATTCCAAATATTTCAAGAACATAACTTAAATAAGGAAATTAAATGAATAATCCGTTGTGTAGTTATATAACTCCCTATGTTCCTACTTATATGTATTCCTTTGACCAAATTTGGATGTTCCTTTTTATTTGTCATTTTAAAAATATCTATGCACATTAAATTTTCTTTCCCAAGGTTGAGGACTGGTGTGGTGCTCGGGATTTTGTCCTTCCTGATTTTGTTGCTCCTTTTTTGGTGATTTAATGCAGTTGTTTTTTACATTAAAAAAGAAATATTTGCACTAAATAGCACTAAAACTTAAGTCATTTCTCTAAATAGCACTTAAACTGTTTCTCCCCTAAATAACACTTAATAATGTCGAGAAGGAGGAATAATGTCTAGTGATGGCAAACATTTACTTGAATAATGACTAATGGATAATGACTAAAAGTGATAGATTGGGGAAAAAAAATGACTAATGGATAATGACTAGTAGATCACTGGTAAGAAGTGATCTGGTATTCAATGATGCATTTTAGGTCAAATATAAAAATGAAGAATTTTTAATATATCACTCCAATGCATTTTCATAGCCTGTGTATATTGATCATGTTAGCGCACAATTTTGTTGTTGCTGGTGTGTATTGATCAATGAAGACAGATAAATCGGAAAAGTTGGAGTAATAAACAGATGAAACAGAAAAGTTGGAATAATAATTAAGAAATAAAGACAACTGAAGAAATTCTGCATTGTTAAACCAAAGCCTCGTGTTTCAATAATAATTGCAAAACTATGCCACGTACCGCATTTTGTGCAGTGAAAAAAGTTTTCACGGCCTCCAACTCTAGAAGAACGGTTAAACAATTGATATCAGCAAAGTATAAGACATCAGTGTTTGTTATCTTCCAGATTAACAATAGAATCATGTTTTTAACTGACCTGCATATTCCACAATCATCACAATGAAACTGCCCTTTCTCTATCTGCAACAAGTAAATACAATATAAGTTTTTTGGATCACCTCAGAAAACAATAAGGGCATGTTTGCCACTTACATCATCATCAAAGAAATTACAAATTCTGCAAAAATATTCTCCCATATTAACACCGCAGTTTGAGCAAACTTGAGCGACCTGGACAGCAGACAAACAGAAACAGAAGCAATCAAACAACATAACAAACGTACTACACACTAGGAAGTAGGTAGCCATATAGATCAAGAGAGGCATACTGGTTGCTCTGTGTCACAAACTGAACAGATCACCTGAAAATCCAAAATTTCTGGGTCTATAAGTACCAGCAATTTTGAAACCAGCACGGACATAGGTAAGTATTAAGTATATGTTAAGTTTGTGGAAGGCATACTTGTTTCACCTCATGCCGTTCCAGCTCATGCCTATCATAGGGATTCCGGAGCATGCTCTAATGAAACAAGTTAACAGAAAAGATATAAAAATGTAAAGTATTCCGTTATTATTGTCCGATCATATTGTTCGTCCTTTCCCAGCCATATCGTTTGTACGAACTCATACTCCATATTATATATCAATTCCAATGCATAGCTACAATTACTCAATCCATTACAAAGACATTGTCTAGATTCCATAGAAACTCTAGCAAATCAAGATCAAAGTAACTGAGCATATGCATCATAAATTGAAAGCTACATATATATACACATAAGCAACATACAGAGTATCCAAGAGTATACCGCGGCTTCATTGTGACAGTGCCGGCAGTCATAGACTTCATTGCAGCAAGGTGCTCTGATCCTGCACCTTCTCCTATAGTGCTGGCATCTGAAAATTCCATAAATCAGAAAGTTATAAGTACCCCTACTCCCCCCACCATTTACAAGACAAAAGATTTTCTTTATATCACCTAATATGTGGTTCACATTGATTTCTCTAAACTTGGTAAAAATCTCAAATACAGTTTCCAATTTCTTAATCTCTGGCAAAGTCAAACTAGCTAGGCACATGTGTAGATGGGCAGAACGAATAGGAATTGGGAGAGACTATGGTGTAAAGATACTACGGATCTTGACAGGTGTGACGAATTTACTCATCAAATCAACATATTTTCTCATCAGACCATGGAAACCAGCAACAGAATCAGACAAGAACCACAGATGTAGAATGAATCAAACACTTGGCATACGCAAATCGAGATTTAAAATAATAAAAAAAACAAATAAAGAAAACATTGAGCCGATTGGCGAAGAAGATGAATGATCCAGGATTATATGAAAAGGGATGGAGAGTGAAATTTACCCGTAACCCATCATCCCAAAACCAAGTCGATCGTGGGAGGAGGCTTCCATTTCCGGCATCAATTGAGCAAGCACCTACACCACACCTTCACGGAGAGTGTAGGCGCCGGAGGAGAGATTGGAAGGGAAGGACAGACGAGATTTGGATTAGGGATGAGAATGGCGGATAAATGGCTGCTGCACAGAACCCAAAGTTGCTTATCCAAATAGAAAATGGCAAGTGGACTCTTGTCCTCTTTTTTTATGGTCTCTTCCCCCGAGAATAGTTACGGACTATACTTTTCTTTTTGAATACTCCGCAATTTCTAAAAGTATTCCTTCAAAAAATTTGAGAAAAAAAAAAAGAAAATGAGTATTTTTCTTGTTTGTTAAAGAGGAAAAGAAAAGAAAAATTAAAGAAAAAGAAAATGAGAAGATAAAATATATTAAGAAAAGGAAAAACAAAATTTATCTTCTTTTGGCAAGGAAACTAAGGAAAAACTATTTTCATTTTTTTTTCTTTTAAATTTTTTGAATCAAACATAGTATAAAATTTTAATACTCTGCATTATTTAGGAAATTCTTCTTTTATAGAAAATATAGTTTTTTACTTTTTTGATTGATGAATTGATCTTCCTAATATTTTTCTCTAAGAATATCAAATTAACTCGGGTTAAATTTTCATATTATCACACTAAAGAAATAAGCTCTTTATGGAATTAGTAGAATTTTATTCTTACGAAAAAACAGATGATACAAATAATTTTTATTAACTAAAATATATCAAAAAAGTTTAAAATGATAAAAATAATTTGTGATTGTAGAATTTGCCAGTCTCTGAGTAGAAAATTTTTTATTAGTTAAAACGTGTCATGTCAGCATGTGACGTTCTATTTCTTAACTTACTGTTGTACATGCTCAAGCTTAAAAAACATCTAGCGTACTGTACCCGTTACACTTTTTTTCCTTCAATGTCTTAAACAACGTGTATTGGATTAAAAATAATAGTTCCATATCTCAATTCGGCAATTTTTTATAGGTGTTTTTTACAATTTTATTGTAGTACTTTTCCAATTGTTATGAAATTAATTAATTGTGAACTATATTCACCATATAATTGATGTTGATGGTTTATTACTGAATAACTATTTTGCATTTTAAACAAAAACGACGATGATTTTGGATTTATGATGATGGTTGTTCTGGATCAAGTTTTGAGTTTGTGTTGATGGTTTATCTTTTTCTATGGTTGATAGTTGATTTCTTTATAATAAAATTGCAATTTCCAATTCTATTTACTACGTTTTTGTTAGTGGTTATATTTGATTGAACATCCATTTTAAATTATAAGATGTTTATCATGAGTTATTCATTGCAAATATACTTTCACTAAGAATAACATATGTTGAAAGCATACATTTAATCGAAGTTTATCTTGAGGTAAGTAAGAAATTATTATATTTAATCAAACGTTCAAAAAATAGATTACTACGTATAACCTAAATCTTTTTAAATCAATTGTAATGAAGTTTGTCATAGTTATTCTCGACACATAGGTTGTGAAACTTTGAAATTTTCAAAATTGGGACTTCATGAGTTAATTTCATGCATCTCCTTCTCTTACTAATTCTCCATAAGCACTAAATATTGACACTTACGAATGAGAATAAGTAACATACTTCTTGTGTTTTACAAACCAATCTTACTTTCTTTTGTTGTTTGAAAATATAACAATATATTAGTAACACTTTTAATCTATTATATATATAGCAGACAAACGAGCTACACACTGCGCCACAACCTCCTTTGAATAGAAACTTCATCTTTTTAAGAACAAAGTTATAGGTCTTAAGGGTCGAGACATTACTATCTAAGACCCGTTGTACCGTATGAAGAAATTTTATAGCCTCTTGGCTAGGAAACTAAATTTATCAAGAGAAAATGAGATAAACACATGTAAGATCTACATAAGCGTATTAATCTTTCCGCCTCGGCCCGACTCGAACGTGTTCTTTTACTTTTGTTGATTGCATCTTTCAAATTCAGTTGATATTCTGACCAAACAATTTTTGTCATTGTATAAAGTAAACTAACAACAAAAAAGCATTTTACGAGTAATTGCCACCAAATTCAGCTTTATGGGCTATTTGGAAGCCCAACCCAAAAGTCCAAATAAGATCTTTTTTCGTTCTGACTCACAAAAAAGCTAAAAGATCCGAATCTCAAATGCCCACAAGTTCCAATAAACAATGTGGGCCACAACGTGGCCCTATACGGCCGCACGCAATAAATGCGCATCTTAGCGAACCCGACATTAATCAATCATGAATCCAACGGTTCCCCCTCATCGGGCGCATTTTAGATGCTAACATACAAAAAGATGTTAACGTGCGCACTCCCTCCTCCCCTTTCACGGCGTCACTGCCTAAGAGCTCAGCCATTTTCTACTCCTCCACCCACTCCATGCTTCCAGTTTAGCTGCATTCTCTTGCACATTCACAGGCGCCTGTAGATACAGATATCTGTATGTATATGAGCTTTTCTGAGCTGAATACGAGTCACAGTCGAAGAAGGTATTGGTAAGCCAGCGTTAGGCTCTACATAGTCGTCATCTTCTCCAATGTGCGTGAAACCCTATCTGCGTTGAGGTAAATTTACAGAATTTGTGTATGTATAGAATGATATTTTGAGAATCTATTGGCTTTTCTATTTTGATTTTGTATTTGGCGAGTTGGAAGCTAGTTTGCTCCCTGGTGATTTATTTTTTGATTTGTGATGAGCATTTCCCTTTTAAGTTTCTGCTGTTTGCTTTTGTAGGATTATAAATTGTTATGCGATTTTGATTATAATTAAGTTCAAGTGTTTGACAATATTGTTTGCCTTTGGCCATTTTTCCTTTTTGAGTAGGTTTGAGAGTGTGCTAGCTCTGGAAAATGGGGGTTAACAGCATGTTTGGTCTTTCAAGAAGGCGGACAAAGCTTGGGAGGTATTTACTTTTATGCTTTGGCACTTGGCTTTTGCTGAAACACGATTTTGTATAGTTGAGTTTGTATAGAACAATTGTTTGTGCCTTGGTTGCTTCATTTGTTACTATCCAAGTCATTCTCGTGTGCGGTATCTCATGTACAGAGAACTCTTCCATCATACTTACTTTTGCTTCTTTGATGTCTTACACAATGACTCATTGCTTGGCATGATGAGACCTGGTTACTTTATATGGAAAGTAAACCACTTTTCCCCATCTATTTCCCACTACGCTTAACACATTTTGAACAAACTTGCCTTTAGAATTCACATGCTTTCCATGGTTACTGTATAAGAACGGGGAGCCATGGAATTGGATTCCTGAGAAAAATGAATGAAATTCTAATATGACCATTTTTATGGGAATCCGGTGAGCGTGGCAAAGCTAGCTATATTTTACGAACAACGAATGCTAGGTTGGCATGTCTCCAATGTCTCTTCTGTGCATATACTTTCCTGTTGTGATACCGTTACTGTTTTCTATATGCAACCTTTTCCTAATATGTTATGACCTTAATACTCCGTATATCTTAACCAAAAGTACATTTAAAATTGCATTCATTTTCTGAATGATAGTATAATGGAACTTTAGGAATATAGGTTGTGGATCTGTACTTGTCTAATATCTTTCCATTTCTTAACAGATTGAAAGTTCAACTTCCAGAGTCTGCTCAGGGAACTAAAAGTCCCATCAGGAACCCGAAACGTTTTAGCTGTCCTAGTGTAAGAAATATCCCTTTTTACCCTATAATTTATGGGAAACTGGAGCATGCATATAGCAACATCTTCAAATATGACAGGGTGAAGATGTTGTAAACAGCATAAATGAATCTGATGAAAACAGCTGCCAACATTCTACTAGTGCATCAGAGTTTAACAATTGCACTTCAGGGAGCTCTGAAAGTTGGATGGTCCTGTCTATCTCTGGAGACAAGCCTATACCTCGCTTCAATGTAGCTTACTTGCATCAAGTATCTTTACTTAAAATTTTAGGACACTATATAAAGCAACACTAATCTTTATATATCCCAAATAGCATAGTGCAGCTGTTATTGGGAACAAGATGGTAGTAGTTGGTGGTGAATCTGGGAGTGGACTATTAGAAGATGTGCAGGTAAATGATGACTAGCCCTAGTGGGTAATAACAGATTTTCCCATTGCAATTCTGTACAGGTAAGACATATGACATTTTGTTTTATTGATTGATTTTTCTTGAGTTCAATCCCAGGTGCTAAATTTTGATAGATTCTCATGGAGTACGGTGTCATCAAAGCTTTTCCTTTCACCAACCAGTCTCCCTTTAAAGATTCCTGCATGCAAAGGCCATGCTTTGGTATGTATTTGTATCCATGGACAGATGTAGAGATATATATGTCCTTGTGATGTAAACTACAAAGAGCGTGTTTGGTGTTACAGAAACAACACTGTACACAAGACGAAATAATTATTGCCAAGTAGCATGTTTTTTAAAGTTCTTTACCACCAGTGGTTCTCTATACAATATTCATGGTTGAAAACTAATGTCATTCTTATCGTGTTTTCTGACAATTTTTTGTTCATTACAATCTAGCTTCCTATTTCTCAGGTTTCCTGGGGAAAGAAAGTGCTTTTGGTTGGAGGGAAAACTGAGCCTGCAAGTGACAAAGTTTCAGGTCATTATTCTCCTTTGTGATCCTTATAATTGTTCCCTGTGACAATTATATGTATTTGTACATTTTCTGCTCCTGCAGTGTGGGCATTTGACACTGAAACTGAATGCTGGTCTCTTATGGAAGCCAAGGGTGATGTCCCGGTAAATTTCTTTTGTATTTAATGGTGTTTTCCTTCTATAGTGGAGGCCTGTGACTCAATTTGTCGCATCTTATTGTTTCTTATCTACATTTGTGATAATTTCCATTTTATACATTTCCCCACTTTTCACATCTCTGTCCTGACTGTCCATGTGCTTTGATTTGCAAGGTTTTGTTTGGATGTATTTCCTGCTACACAAAAGCATGAAATTAGGGATTTGGTTGTATTCCATGTAACTACATCTACAACCCTAATCAAAGTTATCTAGTGTCTACTGAGATGTTACCCCTCAACTTTACTTTTATGTACCTCATGCTTGTAGTGTCTTGTAAGGTGTGTGCTAAGTGCTTGATCTGACTCGGTGTGTGCTCACCTCTGTGGCTTAGTCCACTTGCATGTACTGTGTCTTTTGCGTGTATTTGAGAAAGAGGGAGTGGAAACAGTAGCTTGTTGCTTGT